GCATATAATATGTCTTAAAAATACTAAGAAATGAGGGAATAAAAGATGATATTTTTGTGACTCAACACCCCCCACCCCGCACACTGTGAATTAATTTTTTATTTATTTTTTCTTCTTCTTCTTTTGGTTCCATTCTAGGTGTCCCTTAGATTCGATCATGCATCTCAAATTTGTTAATTCTATACTATGTGTCCTATGAGTTGGCATTATTTTTGACAACACACAACCACTAACATAGAATAGGTGTAGTGTCCTTATGATAGTAGAACAGGTCATCCCACACGCTAGCCTGCTGTAACTAGGATGCTACGAAGGATGATGGGTGGTATTGCGTGGTCTCTCTCAAGCGTCAGCTCAGTGCAGGACTTCTTTCCCTTCAAGTCTCTGCCTGCTCTAGGGGTAGCTAGTTAGGGTTACACCCTATGGAAGACTATGTTTAAATAAGGCATCTCACAAGCGGATTTAGGTGTGCGAAAATAGAGTGATATCGTGCCAACAAGAGAGAAGAAACTCTGCGTTTTTCCATTCATATATCACAAAGAAGAGTGAGAGAACAGAGCCCATCATATACACATATGTGAGGTCTTAACGAGAAGATTAGCCATGGATATTCTTTAAGGTTTGTTCAGCTGGTGAATCGTGGGAGGTTGAGCAACGGTCAAGACATATCCTTATTGCAGAGCAACCAGAAGATGTAATACGCCTGGAGTGACACAAATAAAGTTTGGTGTCTGATCACGTAAGTAGACAAATCTATTTAATAGAAGGATCTATTGAGATTGATTGTGTAATTCTTATGTTGATATAGTGGAAAGGCTATTACACGGATGTGTGTCTCGCAGACGTAGGAGAGTTAGCTCCGAACTGCGTAAACATATCTCTGTGTCTTTATTTGCTTTTGGTGTGCGTTTGGACTGGTGTTAGAAAAGGTGTTATAGCATTCTGTGAAGTCTGGCAGCTGAGCTACAACGCAATTTCCAACAACATCTGTTTGTGTTAAGTGTGAGTTTATCTAGTCTACACTAGAAGAAAAAGGACTTTTAGTTACAGATCAATTATGACGGGTTGATAATAATCTCATTAAATGTGTTATTTCTACATTTTTAATGAGGGGAAAAAACCATAGTTAAAAGGTGTTACTTTTAGTGACCAATTTTTTTCATTTTTCTTGTTTTAAAGTTAATACTCTCATTACATATTTATATACTTCTAAATTGGGCAAACTAAAATATATTAAAAAATGAAATTGTTTAGAAATAGTTATTATTCCTTATTAAAAAATACAGCGGCAATCACAATTGGGATTGCGGCCTATAACTTACCTTTTCGCCTAAAAAATACAGCGGCAATCCAATTTGGTGAAAATTTCTCCTCAGATTCACAATTTCATGCAAAGTTCTACCGTTGTCGCCTGCGTATAAGCTCTCCCTTAGCCACTCCTTCAGACGACCAGTAGTATTCGACGAGTGACCTTCCCTGCTGTTTCTAGGGATTCGACTGTTATAGCCAAGCTGATGTGGCAGTGGTTGTTAGTGGTAGTTAGTTGGTTAGAAGTGTGTTGGGTCTGTTAGCTGATCATTCACTTGTATAAATAGGTGGCCTTGTACTTTCATCACACATCATGAATAAAGATCAATTTTCTCTCTCCCTCTTCCTCTCTCATTCTCTCCCCCTCTCCAAAATATCTTCTTTCCACCTTCTTCTTCAGCAGGTTCTGTCACCATTTCTGTTTCTCTTTTAGCAAG